CTCACAGAACAAGGGGATCAAATCAATCCCGCTTTCCCACCTTATCCCCATACCCCTTCAAGCCCCTCTCTTTCAAGCTCCAATGGACTCCGGCTCCACCACTTGACTCGGCAGGCCATTCCACATCCCAACGACTCTGGGTGAAAAAAATCCTCCTAAATTCCCCGTTCACTTTCTTGTGACTGTCTTCTTAACTATGGCTCCTTGTCACTGACTCTCTTATCAATGGAAATATTTTTCCCCATTTAGCCTGTCAAAACCCCTCATAATTTTGCCCCCACCCCATCCCTCAACCTTCTCTGCTCCAGTGCAAATGATTGAATAGTCACCAATTTGGTTTTATCCAAATGTGCTTCACAGTGATCTCATCGATCAGTTAAGGTTCTCTAATTCTGTGGTTGTAAGGGAGCAAAGCAGAAGGAAGGGTGGTGTTCCACAGAGCGAGGATAGAATGCTGAAAGCTCACGGTTCAATGTTTGTGTAGATGGGAGAAAAAAAGAACGGAGAAATAAAAAAGCAAGCTTTGGTAGCAGTGTATTGATTGCCAGTAACTACCAGTATTCTGTGCACATGGCAAGTTCCCAATTGGCAAAGTTATTGGAAGGAACATGTCTGGTGAGTCACACTTGGCCACCATGGAAAGCTACAGTATAATTTTAACAGTTGGAAAACAGAAAAGGAGACATGTCATTACAAGCCCATCAACACTACTGCATGCAGTGACTGGATGTTGCATGCTGTTCGTCTGTGCTATGTGACATTGTTTAAAGGCTTGATTTTATTGTTGTTGAGCATTTATATTAGTCTGCTACCAGCTCTTCTCATCCAAATCCCCAGTGCTGTGTCCAATTTTCATTAATCAAACCTTTACAATAATTATGGTTCACGTGGAGAAAAAAATACCAGGGCAATGCAAACCTATTGGTCCAACTGGACAGTTTTTGCACTGTGATCTCTGATACTATGAATGTGGGGTAAACTGAGCATCGATTATAATATAGGCTGGAGCTTTGACATCTCCCGCAATGAATCTTCTTTGGTAAAATTCCACTGTGGTTATTTTAACACAGGTCAGCATGCTTATTGATGGTACTGTGAATCACGTGCCAAAAGTGGAAATAATTTAAATGCCCTATAAAAGTTAATTTAAAAGTGAAGGAGAACTAAACAGGAGTACAGTGGGATGTTCTTGTAACATTGGAAATAATGTGAGTTGATATTTTTAGGTAGGTTAAAACCACAACAGTTAGGATTTACAACATACCAGATGCAATATAATTGCTATTTAGTTTTTCCATTTTCTTTATTACTATATATTGCTTCATTACATTATGGCCAACATAACCTACATAATGACATTGTAAGCAGTAACAGCAGCCTTTGGAATTTCAATATACTTTGATTGTCGCTGGGGGGGGTTTGATGATGTACCGTAAGCAACGTGATGGGTTTCTGCATGTGTCAAACACCCGGCTAACAAAAGCAAAATCATGAATTGACTGGTGTGAATTTAACATATCCAAATATTAATTTAGAAATTTTTTTTTACTCCATAAAAAATTCTAATATTTCTGTGGTTAGAGAAAACTCGATACGTGAGGGAGAAAGGAATAGAGGGGAAGAGAGAGAGGGAACTAGGAAGGTTGGAGTATAAACACCAGCAGGGACCAGTTGAGTGAATGGATTGTTTTGGTGCTGGATACACTATGTATGCAATTCTACCAGTATACTTTGTTTTCAATAAAACAGTCACATTAAACATTTCAAATAATCTTTGCTCTTATTTTCCCTGTTTTTTTCTGCACACAGATAACAAAAACAGGAGGAAGCCATTAAGCCCTGTTCTACCAGTTTATTAGATCTTGGCAGATCTATCAATTCCAATGCCTTGCCCATTCACCATGCACCTTAAAAGCTCCATTATCAACTATCTGTTTGTCTTTCAATTAAGCATCCTTATTGATTCAGTCTCTACGGCTTTCTGTGAGAAAGAAAATGTTTTCAGACCCAATTCTTACTGTCTTAGTTCTGATTTCAAGGCTATTCCCATTGTAATAGATGCACAAGAGGACAGAAACTTCCACTATCCAACCTGTTAATACCTTTAATTTTTTAAAATATCTCAATCAGATGACACCTTAACCTCCTCTGCTCTAAGGAACATAACTCCAGTCTACCCAGCCTCGAATCATACCTAACCCCAGGTATCAATCTAATGAATTGCTGCTGGTCACCTTCCAAGGTTGGTGCATCCTTTTTAAGATTGGGTGCCCGAAACTGAACACAACACTCCAAATGAGGGCTGACCAGCACTCTATATCACTGGAGAAGCATACAGTTTCATTCTATTATGATTTCGCAGTACTCTGATGTTTGATGCCATGGTTTAACTTAGTGCATATATACACAACTGTATTGTAGATGTTGTTGGTGTTTGTCTCTTTTTAGATGGCTGATTCTCCTTTTCCTCTGTGCCGAGCTATGTCATGAAAATGCTCAGAAGTTGCTGGAAGTTCCATAGCAGGCCATGCGCACTGACCTGTTATCAATGGAAGTAAACATATATTGCGAGCATTCTAGATCAAGTTTTAGTGCACTATTTTTATGTTTTGAATTCACCTGTTGTAACTTATTTGCATGGCTGCTCAGCACCAAATATCTGCTGTGTTGTTTCCTGGGGTGGTGCGGTTTCTGTTTGAAGGTGGAGGGGCCCTTCATTCTGCAGAAACTGTATTCAGTTACACCTCAGCCCACCTTTTCTTAATTAGTGTGAACACATTGAGCATGGGCCCAAGGCTGGTTCAAGTTTACTTGAAAGTGGGTATGAATTCAGCACAAAAGTAAAGGCATGGTATAATAATAATGACTGCACAAACACAGTATTGGTACCCTCAGCATGTAGACTTCTTTCCCTACTCATTCAGAGCATAAAGCACATTTGTATTGCACTACCTTCAACAACAGCACTGATTTAAGTTACTGGGTACTATTACAAAGCAAATAATGTATTATGGAGATAAAGACTAGCCACGGATCCTGAACTAGAAATATAATTGAGCTGGAAGTTCACTTACTGTATACTCCTCCACTAACAATAGGAGGATATGTGTTACTCGGATGTCTGTCTGAAACCACTAATATGCATCTTAAGTGCTTCACCAGATTTTACAAAACACAATACAAAATTACATTTGTTAGCGCCTGTCACGTCAGGAAACTAACTTCAAGAGCATCTTCACTTCATCGTTTTTTTTTAACAAAAAAAACCCTAGGGTCTCTTGGAAGCATTGTTGTGTTATATTGTGTCCTCGCCACTCTTCCAATGGATCTAATATTTTCACCAAGTTAACAAGTTCATCGGTTTGCAGTGGCTGATAACTCACTTTAAATGCCAAAGTAATTGCGCTGAATTTTTCATGCCTAAAATGGTCAGATGATTTAACACTGGCTAACATTGAACATTTAAAAAGATTACAAGGAAGTACTGTATTTTGTGCTAATAGGGGCATTAAAATGGCACATAATCGTCTTTGGTGCTTCATGTGGCACCAAATTGCTCCAACTTGGGTTGATGCCCATGATTTTCTATTTGGTAGGAGACCCCTTCTTAGCCATGGTATGAGGGAACATAACTGAAGTTTAAGTGTTTCTAAAATTCTTTGCAGTTCCTAAACCTAGGTCATATTGCTCGATGATAATGGATATCTAAAGATTCGTACATACTCAATTGATCCTCAAGTTCCTGCTACAGATACCTGGAACAAAACTGCTTTCTCCACACGTTGGTGAACAAGAACGTACAATTAAGACAATCTGTTATGAGTACTTCAATGCCAAAATTGTATTCCAACACAGTAATAAAGGTCCTTTTCCAGCAGAATTTGGATTGAAATAATATAAACTTTTATATAATTTATCACTAGATCTACAAAATAAATCAACTGGTTCCTTGCACATTATTGTTTAACACTATTCAGATCAGCTTTGTTTCCTTTGCAGATCTGCTTTAGCTACGCAAATTGACATTCAATCTTCAGTAAGAGCTGCATTTATATCTTTGATACATTGAACTTGGGTATTTCTACTCACTTGGAACTTGGATATTTCTAATCACTGGATTCTTGCATCACACCATCCCACAAATTTGCATTCACTCCACCTCACAGCCAAACCTGTGAAGCTCTTTGGGCCATCCGCCCGATGAGAAAAGCACTAAACTTAATGAATTATTATTTGAGGAGCGGAGTGAGGGGAACGCTCTGCAGTATTTTGTTTTTTGAGATGATTAGAAAAAACACTAAAGCACAGACACAACAGCACTAAATTATTTTATTTTACAATGGGATTTATTTATTTGTGCCCTTTTTATAACCACTAGTATACTTTTAAATAATTTCCACAGTCACCTCGATCAGCATCCATTGTGAGCATTTTTCTGAGCACGCTCCACAATTTTCCTTTCCTTATCTCATTAATGTTACTAACCAGTAACTGTATACAGCCTTCTATTGCTACTGAAAATTGACTCAACATCGCCCTTATTTGCTGAATGATGATTTGGCTATGGAAGCATTAAAATTTCCACCTCTGTTTAGGATCAATTATGTGTGTGGTCCTCAGAATATTAATCGGTTCTAAAGATTTATGATGTTCTTTTGGGTCAATAGCCAGTCTATAGTGTTTGCGACAGCATTTTTCCTGTTTGGTGTGCTTAGGAGAACTAGATGCAGTTTCCAGTACTAACAGAATTACTGATATGAACCCAAGCTAATACTTTTAGTAAGTGACCTATTAGCTTCTCAATGTAGATGGATTTCCTTTACGGAATTGACTAGTTTAAAATGCTATTTTTTTAACAGATATTTGAAATGTTTCTGTGGTTAAAAATGACTAAATTGGACAAGACTGATGATATAGTCTGTTGCTAATCACTTGGAAAATTTATTTTATCTCTTATTGCCATAACATGTTAGCTGAGTTTTACTTTTCCTCTTATTTAGGCAACCAGACAAACTTGTTGTGGTTTGGACAAGAAGGAGCAGACGGAAATCTTCCAAGGTATGCATCAGAGATTAGAATTTGCTGGGGGAAGAGTGTTGGGTTTCTAACTGCATTAAAATCTGTCAATCTATTTGAATATTCCAATGAACGTACAATACATTTGGGATTTTTTTTAAACAAGGGATTAATTTGTACTGAGTATGTTGACTTTGTACTTAAGATTTCTGTGTTTGGAGTAAAGATCTGCTCTCAGTCATGATAGCTGTTTCAAACGGCATGAATCTATGGAAACAAATCTTTTCTGTTACAAGTCCCTCTTTGTTAAACATAATTTTTTTTTAGTGTTACCGTAATAAATGGGAACTGTTTTAGCTTGATAGTTTTGATGCGCAAGAACATCAACAATACTTGATTTTAGAGAAAGGGGACTCAGTTTTAATCTGGCTTAATTTTGTTCCAATGAATGAACTGAACACTATTTCTTAAGACTAGTCTTATGTAGTTGTTCCTTTTAGATATCGGGCCCAAACTGCGTATTTCACCTTTCTTTTGTTCTTTTTGACTCTTCGCTGGTTATATCACTTTATTTTCTGAAGTGGAGATTCAGTTTGCTTGCACAGATGAACTGTTGCAAATTATTGTTTACTTTATGAATTACGGTAGCATTCCTGGGGCATTGTAAAAAAATTAGATTTGAATAATTTTGTTAAGTTATTATGGGAATACAGTATATTAAATTTGTGATTTACAGACTGCATCTTTAGAATATTTTCACTTTTCCCAATTTAAATGTGGTATTTTGTTAATGGAATGTACAATATGCTTGGTCTGCAAAGGACTAAAGTTTTGTACTGATATTCTCCATAAGCAGTTCAATGTTGCAGTTTTTATCCTTGATGTTCATCCTTAAAATTGTATCTGTACACAGGACTGAATACCTGATGTTTTCCCACCTACTGAGAAATGTTAGTCAGGATTGCTTTGAAAGCTGTCAGGATTGCTTTAAAGTATTAAGTATTTTGAACGCTTTGAGACATCCTTCCTACAAGAAAGATGCTATATAAATGTAAATTGTGTTGTAAGTATTGGGGATTTCTGTTGGTTATAATAAGTTGAATTATTAAAACAATGGGCATAAGTTAATTATCAGCAGCATTAGTTTTGGTTCTGCAATTCAGTACAATGTGCCCTGAAATCTATCAAATAAAACATCATACTGGAAATATTTTTCAATGCATTTTTCAAAAAGTAACTCATTGCTTTCAACATAGTTCACAGCAAGGGTACACAGAAGATGGAAGTTTAAAAAAAACTAAGGAAAGAAAAGATAGAAATATGGGAAAGAGGAGATAACCAAAAGCACTTAATATTACATGAGATGTGTCAAAAAAAAATCTCACCCATCCAACTCGCCCAGATAGCCTGCTTCCCAGCAGAAAAACCCCTCATTTAAGATAGCTGGAAGGGCAGAACTATCCTCAGAACAGAAGAGGAACAGCTCAGCATGTCTCAAAGGACAAAGGTTGGACTTGCACCAGCTTTCTCTCCTTGGAGCCTTTTTAAATTAGTTCCAAGTTGTATTGTCTTAAGTTTATTATCAATCTCAAAGCTGTATATCCCACTATATACTTTAAGCTAAATCTCCTTTAAATTAACCCATGTTACATCGCGTTCAATTTCCCAAAACTACTTTTCTACCCACTTCAGACAAAATTGGTCTTGTGACTGGGCCCCCAGAAATAAGTCGGTTTGAAAAGCATTGAGATGGCCTCTCAATTTGAAAGGGAGGGGAATGGGGGGGTGGGTGGTGCTGGATCACCTCTGTCGCTGTTTTTCATCATCAATCAAACCAAAAAGCCTTCACCCTTGGACACTGCTGTGCAATGCTGCCACACCACTAATCACGCCCAGTGACCTTATGCCCATTCTGTGCAAATGGCTATTTGTGCAACAAATCCGCTTTAGTGTCTTTAATTTGAAGTCAATGGTTGTTGCTTTTAATTAGCAGCATGCAGATGCTGGGAGAGTCAAGACTAAGGAACCAAATGATGTGATTCAGCACCAAGCCTTGCAAGCACTGAAGACGGTGACTCCCAACTATTTCAGAAGTTTGTTAGATTATAGGGTGCCATTTTTTTAATACAAAACATAATTGTCAGTACAGGTATTGGTTTGGGTTGTTGAGGGAATAGGCGAGCGAGTGAGCATTGATCTCAATAGATGGTATTTCAAAACTCTTACAGTTCTCCTTCCTTCATTCAGGGTCAAGGAACCAAACTGTAGTCAGACACTTTTATAATATGTGTTTCACCAATTTTACAGGTATCAAGGAATATATTTGGTGTGAAAATTGCACAAAATTGAAATTCGTCCTGCATCTAAAGTTCACATAGTGCTGCACAATCCAGGAATTCTAGTGTAATCATTGAAATAAATGCACTCTATTTCATGTATCATTTATTATTAATAATATAGTCCTACCCTCTTATGTCGACACGTTTGGGACCATTCAAATTTTGAAGACTTAAGTGGAATGCCGACATAGACAAACAAATACATATATGCATACACTGTGTTAAAAATGGCTGAAGGATTGATTTACATACATATTATAATAAGAATATAATATTGTAATTTTTTGTGAGGCAATGTTCCCCCACCAAACCCTTTCATGAGCTGGTATAGCTCTGATTCAGAGGATGGGTAATGAAACCTTTGTCACTTTTGATCTAGAGAGGGGCCCACTGAATGGTTGTTTCTCCAGAGTTCCTCCAAGGACACTTCCTGTTCCGCCTATACAGAACCAACCTGGTTTTGGAGAACCGCTGTAAAGGTGAACTAAGTTATAGTGCCCTTCAGTGTGACCCAGCTTCTTTAACTTGGACCTGCGGTAACCAGAAGTGCAGTATGCCCGGCTTCTGGTGCCAGAAATGGCTGACTTGCGGGTTATCACACTGTCATCTTTATTCCGTGTTGCAAACAAATGCAATAAGCAGGAAGCCCTACTAACATCACTGAGTGGTGACCTGGCAGCCTGGAAATTGGTGCCTCACTTTTAACTTGCCTGATGAGACACTGAACCCAGCCAAGAACAAGGTTTCTCTGTACTTGTGTTTTTCAGTTAACGCTAAGCTAGGCGGGACTGACTGTAGAATCAGATGAGGCAGCTTGGATCTTACAAAGAGAGCTTGAGAGGATATGCTCGTTAGCTGATGACTGGAAAATGAAATTCAATACAGGCACATACAAGAAAATTCATTAGAAACAAAAAAAAAGGCACGTACTTTGTGAATAGGGTAGAGCTTGCCAAGGGGAGCTTGAAAGAGGGGTATTGGGTGACTTGTCACTCAGCAAGTCCAAACAGTGTGAATGCAATGAACAAAGCAAACAGAATGCTGGGCTACATGGCCAAATCAGTTAAAATCCCCCAAAGTCGTGCTGAACCTGTCATGTTCTGGTCAGGCTGCACCTGGAGTACTGGTATAGTTCTGGTCACCACAACATAAGGGCCCTAGAGGCAATGTAGATTGGAATAATAAGGCTGATTCCTAGAGAGAAAAGAATGAGCTGTGAGGAATGACTAGAAAAAGTTAGTGCACTTCAGCCTTGAAAAGAAACTCTTGAGTGGATTTTATAGAGGCTTAAGAGAAGGAGAAAGTTATTTTTTTCAAAAAAAAACTTTTAGATCTGCTAAAGCAGGAAGATGAGAAGGCACGGGTTCAGGTTGTGAAGGGCAATTTTAGGATGGATTGCAGGGAGAATTTCACAGAGAACAATCAATAGCTGCAACGTTACCAGGAAGGTAGGATGAACGTTCCTGGTAACGTTGCAGCTATTGATTGTTCTCTGTGAAATGGGGGAGGAATAGTAAGATATATGAGATGTGATAGCATCTAATGCTAATCTTTACATTTCATGTTAAATATAAGGAAAATAGCAGGTTTTGAAATTGCTCGAAACAATGTGCATTTGATTTTGAAAGCGACTTAAGTTAAAGAAGGTCTATTAACCTTGTACAGTGATCACTGATCTGGAATATCATAAACCAGGCCTGGACAGAGTGGACTTTACACTTCCTTGCCAGATAGTGACCTAAAAATAATTATATCACTAAAAAAATTCAAATTACTTTGTTCTTGCGACCAGAATTTAAAAAAAGCCTTGGAATGTGTTTTTTTAGAAAAATGGCAATAATGAAGTACAAGTTGTGGAATCCAGTAGCGTTTTGGTTAGAGCACTTGCCTCACAAGCAAGAGGACCTGGGTTCAATTCCCAGGCAGAGCAAAACGTTAGGCAAGTTTCCTTACACCACACACCTCTATTTATCTATCAGTAAATAGGAACCCAGTTGTTAGTTGATTGGCAGATCGCTTTTCCAGGGGTAATAATCCCTTCAAAAATGTTGTAATAATACTTTGGTCATTCAATCCACAACTGTATGTGGGCCACTGCGTTGCAGAAGCGGCTGCTGCGTTTCGCCCACAAAATATACAGTCAATTCACTTTACAGTGTGTTCTGTGAAGCGCTTTGGGACGTCCTCCCAACGTGAAAAGCGCTATATCAAATGCAAGGATTATTATTATTATTCTATGAAGCGCTTTGAGATGTCTAGAAGATGTGACAAGGCGCTATATCAAATGCAAAGATTATTATAATTGAATGGCTTCGTGGCTGAGTCTCCAGAAATCAGGGATGTGCAGCCCCATCAGTTAAGTACCACATCAGTCATAATCACTCCAAATATCTCCCCATTTTGTGCAGTTTTGGGCATCCAACCATCAATAGGATATTGAGAGGATTCAGAGGAGAATGACAAGATTAATTCCAGGTTTAAAGGAGAGCTTTACAGAATTGAACATATCCTCATTAGAAAAAAGTACATTGATTTTTACATTTTGCACAATCCAAGATAGCTACCATGTAACTAAAGTTTAGAGTGGAAAATGTATAAAAGTACTGACAAAATAAAATGGATTGATAAACAAATTGACCTGGGACCTGAGATGAAAGGCGTGTCACTCACTGTTATACTAATCTGGAAAGGTAAATGATCATGACATTTCTTTTGTTTTCTTGGAATAGCATGGTGATACTGGTATATTCTTAAACATACAATGCATTTCTTCTTGAAGGCTCACAGCTGGCAACCAGGAATTAAAAATCCATATCGTGGCGTTGTGGTGTGGCCTGTTCCTGAGAACATTGAAATCACTGTGACACTTTTCAAGGTATGGCAGCTTCAACTTCAGATTTTGTGTTAACTAGCTTCCTGAATTTGTGTCATTAATATCTACATTTCACTCTGAAAGATTTGGCTCTGGTAAGTATAATGTTAAACCTGTAGCTGAAATAAACGGTATATGGGACCTCCTCCCAACGTAAAAGGCACTCTATAAATGTAATTTTGTTGTTGTTGGATTAATGCTTAATTGGATGCCATTGCCTTATAATGGATAGGAGAAATTCTGTTTTCCTATGAAGTGCAACTTAATGGATCTTCAAATTATTGATCGCAAATCTGCCTGTTGCTATTCTCTCCATGGTACCAGCTAATTGAAAGTAAAGCTTAACAAACTGATACATTCTGGCTGTGTGTGTAAAATATTTAATAGTTAAACGACAAAGGTTTCTTGAGGTAGCAACGGAGCCCTATCGCTCAGTGGTTAGAGCACTTGCCTTGCAAGTGAGACGCCTGGGTTCAGTTCCAGGCAGGGTGAAACCTTGGGCAAGTTTCCTTACTCCACACGCCTAATAATAATCCCTCCAAAAAACAAAATAATAATAAATTGGTCATTTTCAATCCACAACTGTTTTGTGGGACACTGCTGTGCGCAATTGGTGCCGTGTTTCGCCCACAAATATACAGTCAATTCACTTTACAGCATATTCTATGAAGCGCTTTGAGATAATAATAATCCTTGCATTTGATATAGCTGTCTAGAAGATGTGAAAAGCGCTATATCAAATGCAAGGATCATTATTATATTACTAAGAATTATTGCTTTGGAACACTCCAATTTAGCTCCCTACGTTGCTGTTAAATTTCCTTATTTATTATCCCTGTTTGAACCATTGCACCAAAGCATTACTATTTGTAGACACTTGGGGAAAATAACTGAATGGGAATTTAGCACTTACTGTTCCAAGTTATATTTTTAATTAAGTTTTCAGGTTTAATTACTTTAATTTAAAATAAAAAATACTTTGTTCTTATTACATAACATATTATCATGCGTTAAAGGCTTCATATGTTGCAGCAAGACTAACAAACCATTGGTGATATATAATTATACTGGGTATGAGATAATAATTTACTTAAGGGGTTTAGATGGCATCAGGAAGCAAGAAGAATGAAGGGTAAAAATAGACTTCCTTTGAACGCTGAAATTAAATTATACCTTAACATAGTAAGCATTTGAGACAGGAGTCTCAAATTATTGAGCCATTGAGACAATCTGTCTGTCCATCTAGCCTATCTATACAATTTCCCACACAAGCTCTATGCTCAATACTAGAATATATTTTTAATAGCCACTGTTTGTACCATCAAAGTACTGCTAGTAAGTTAAAGTGCTTTTGAAAGTTCATTAGACGGAAGTTCACTGAGATGACATATTGAGTACGTTGTCTGGATATAATTAGAGATTTGCTCTGAAGTGTAATTGTGAAGAAAATAGGACCCGTGTGTGTGTTTATTTTAACCTAACTCTTAGCTTTAATGCAAACGGAACCTCTAAGATTACTACCTTGTGATCACGCCATAAACTGTAGAGTTCAGGAGAACAGATTCATTCCATTTTTGAGTCCATTCTTTTGCAAGATGTGGGTGCTCTGCCCAGACAAAGTGTCAGACAGTCTGTCACATATTAAGTTCCAGTTGAGCCTTTTTGCAACTCAACATCGATGTTTGGCTCCTATCAATGCCTCCTTACCTCGGGCGCTATCCACCCATCCCTCCTGCCTCGCTCCCACCTCGGGCTCCCACTCAGTACTAGCGATGCACTTTAAGGATTCTCCCTAATTGAAAGGTGTGACATATGCAAGTACAAATTGTTGGTTTTATTCTCTAGTTAATGACACTGAAAAAGAAATGATGGAAACATGATTACCTGAAGATTGTGTGGAATTCATCATTTCCTTCAGTCTTCCCTTTGATTTGCGATCTGCAAGCTTTTAAAGCTCAAGCCTAGCATCACTCGATATCTACTTGTCTTTTCTGTTCTACTCTGTTCAACCTTGGTAACACCTCACTGTATATGCATGTGTGTGTGTGTGTGTATATTATTTTACATAGGAGGCGATCACAGATATGTACATGACTTTTCACTGGCTTTCAGCCTGCCTTATTCATACTGCTACAAGCCAAAAGCAATGAACAGCCTCATAGTCAACGTCCAATTCACCCATAGCCATCTGCTGCTTTGTATTACCTAGTTTTTTTTGGTTGCCCTTGGGCCGAAAAATAGTAGGGACAGTCTTAAACAAAACTGAAAGGACAATTTAAAAAGCTGGGTAATAAAGGGATGGGCTATAAATGCTAGCACTGCCAGCTTTACCCACATCCTGAGATGAATAAAGAAAAGTCCAGTTGGCATGTAGTGGCAGGGACGGTATCATACTGGGATGTATCATAATGGGCTAGAGTTACAAAATTACGTTTTTATTTGCACACTTCTATGTTAAGAATATAGAAGTAGGAAATGTGGAATGACAGTGGGACTATGAAGTACGTGTGGTTCTTTTTTTTAGAAAAAGCCAAAATTCCTCTTCATTTCATTCAGGTCTGTTCAATGTCAAGTTATTTATCCCGTCCCCCGATTCTCAGCTTTGCAACTGTTTGCCTGTTAAATTACTACAAGTGTTGTGAACTAAACACAACAGCACCGTGCATTTTTATAGCGCCTTTCATTCAGGGTAGCGTCTTGGAATGCTTAAAAAATATTGCACTGCCTATCTCAAAATTTAATACTATTTCCTTTTATAATCTCATTAAAGAGATCATCCAGCAGCCTTTCAAAAAATAAATCATTGTTTAAAACAAGGTTGTTAACAAAATTAGCAGTTTAATTTTTTTTAATTTGATGACTGAGGTCAAATTACTGGGTTGGATGATTTCCAAAGTCTGATACTGTGGCAGAGTTGGTTTTATATGAGTGCAATTGACTTTTTAAATGTGAGTAAATTGAGTTTTGTTATTTGTTGGGCTCGGTAATTTCTCCCACCTAATATCATAATTGCTCCCTTTCAAATAAAATAAAATTAACAGAATGAGTTTATTCAAACCCACTGAAAGTGAGAACATTTTTTACCCTAAAGCACATACACATGACATACAAACTAGTTGTATTGATTTCATGTCGTGGCAGAGGAAGTGAGGCCTACTTTAAAAACATTCCACACTTTCTGGCACAGATGGGTTGGGCCGAATGCCTGTTTCCACGCTGTACATTGTTTGCAAAGTTTTGTTGCAAGTTTTATTTTCTACTGCTTTAGCTCTCAGTAATGCTCCATGATTTTGCTGATGCTTTCATGAAAATACAGGATTATATCACTTTTGTTTGTTTTTGGAAGAATGTGAATCAAACAGAGGAATGTCAGTTGTGTTAAGGGGAAACATTTTAACTTCTTACATGTACTCTACCACAGAAATATACCTGAAGTGGTATCTCTTTCCAACACATTCCAACAAGCACCATTATATTTTTGTTTCCATTTTCCTTCGTATTCTAGCTTCTTTTAGTAACATTGCTGATTTCTGCAATTTTGGGCTCATGGGCCTTTAAACACTAGGACTTAAACACTTTAAACAATGGCTCAAATGTTTACTTGGGACCTTTTAGACAGCAGAAGGAATTGCTTGATCCCTGACTCACGGACCTGAAAAGGCTTACAATTCATTATACAGTAATACTCGCATAAGTCATATCGTTATAAATCGTATAAATGCATAATTCTTACATTCACCCTAGTCCCATTCAGCTTCCTAACAAACTACTTGGATTTCTTTACACTACTTGTTTTACTCGCGTCCTAACTCGTAACACCGTTCCCGTACCCTCCATTACTCCAGCGCTTACCGTAGGCCTTGAATCACGGGAAATTTCGACCTTACCTGTCGACACTTGCTCACTTACCGCCGGCTGCCATGAGTCACAGGAAACGTAGTCTTCATCTTTCGACGCATGCGCAGAAGCCCTTCATTTGCCCCCAATTCAACGCAATTCCAACAGTTGACGGTAAGTGTGCATGTGGCAATGGGTGAAGATGCATTGAATTGCAGGAAATATAGTCTTGACCCATCACTGCATGCCCGCTTACTGGCTGCAAGGACGAATTACTGCATGCGTACTTACTGGCTGCATTAAATAACGCACGCACAGTGTAGATTATTGATTTTCTACGACTTATACAGTTTACTGCAACTTTGACTTCGTGGAAGTCTTGTGTGAGTTTTACTGCACCACTTAATTTCCATTCTTGTTCAGCTTCATTATTTGGATTGTGCCCTGGAATTTCTTACTGACAGCTTAGTTTTTGGGAAGGTCATCTTAGCAGAGCCAGGATTTCCATTATTACACTGTGACATTATCTATCTTGAATATTTACTGCTATTATTATATTATTAGTAGTAGTAGTAGGTTGCTCCCACATGGGTCTTGAATCTGCATCTGACCAAGATAATCTTTAGGCCTTTTCAATTTAAAGATAATTCTATGAGAATAATTTATATTAATTTAACAATTAATCTAATTTCATCGGATTATTAATGAGTCCTTTGTTCATTGTAGATCTTTTAACTTATTGATAGGGCACTTTTTAAGTCCCATTTTTCCTTTTTGTCTATGTGGGATATTGCTAGGTTAATTGGGCTGCCATATTTGTCTACAGGTACAGGTACTACCCTTTACAGCAGTTCACTGTGGAAAGCTTTGAGACGTTTTAGTGTTACAGGTACTACATTAAATGCAACACTCATATTATCATTCCCTACGTGGCAGTTTGTTGGACAATGCTGTGTGCAAATTGTTTGCCTACAAATACACAGTCACAGCAGTTACCTGTGAGTTTTGAGCTGTTTGACCTTGTAGGCATTATTTGATGCTATTCTTTATGGTTTGATGCCCCTATCATTGTGAGGAAAGATGTCTTGTTCAAGTTTCATCATCCGTTTTAGACTCTTAGCAAAGGTTATTAAAAGCTGCCTTTTAGAGCTAACAGATATGAGCCAGACCACAAGAGTTTGAAAATGGAAATTTAAGTTTCCACCTGCTTGTCCTTAATTAAAACCAAGAATTCCAAGAAATGTAGAGTCCCTTAGTATAGTGATTAGTGCGCTCGTCTTGCATCGAGAGGACCCGGGTTTGATTCCTGGGCAGGCGAAACTTTGGGCAAGTTTTCTTACTCCACGCCATCTCTGTTTACCTATCAGTAAATAGGAACCTGGTTGTTAGTTGACTGACGAATCGCTTTCCGCGGGTATTAGTCCCAAACTTCCCTCCCCCAATCCTAGGTTTTATAAAATATAATACCACTCAAAAAATGTTACCTTCTCGTCTTTGCCTTCTGGGTATTCTGTTGTACAATAAATGCTGAAGATACTTGATTTGTCGCTGGGTTTTCTGGTAAATATATCCAAAGTCAATGACACCCATGCCTTTGAAGATACACATTCATTATTTTTTCATTGCTGAAGGCTTCTTTGCTTATGAATTCATCTCTGCCTAATCTAATGTAAACCAAGGGAAAAAAACAAAGTACCTGTCTTAAATATAGGCTCAGTTATGCTGTCAGAATTGCAAAGTAACTCTGAGCCAAGAAAATATTTGTAGTTTGTATGTGAAAATGTACGCAAACCAACTTAAATTTGACCAAAAGGCGAAGTGAGAGTGGTGTGAGCAGCTATGTGGTTTTCCTGTACAACCCTCTTTCCATTTTATTATTACAATTGCCGGTAATAACTATAAAGCTTTTGTTTTAAAAAAATTGTTCTCTTTTCAGGATCCACATGCGGAGGAATTTGAAGACAAAGAATGGACGTTTGTTATAGAAAACGTAAGTTTAATAAGTCCTGTTTTTGACCTAATTGATTTGCAAGATGTTATTGTACTCCTAATTTTAAAAAACGTTCTGCATTTTGCAGTAAAGCAATTTGTCACCGATAAACGTTAAGTTTACTGCCATGAAGCCTGCAACGTGAAGTATTGCAGTTACTTGGCACAAATAAACTGCTGTCAGGTTTAAAGGCAGTAAGTTATACCACAGAGGCCAAATCTGTACCAGAAATTCAGCGGAGCCTCATTCTAATATGCAGTGTTTGGGTTCCATAAAAATGGCTGTAAATATAAGATTGCACATAACATTGAGAAATTCTTGAATATGTATCTTGAATATTAATTTTGAAGCAGTTGTTAAAGAAATTCAGAAAAGTGGTCTCTATGAGAGATTAGAACCAATGTCTTTTAAATTATCAGCATCTTCACAGATGTATCTCTAAGTGTTAGCAGCAAGTCTCCCCCTATTTCTTTTCTCCTCTCTCTGTAAGAACATGCGCGTGTCTTTAAATTGAAATAAAGTAAATTCAGGCTTTGACTTCTGTTCATCAAAAAGGACTCTGGTACAACTTATTTGGCAATCCCGGACTTTTAAAAATTAAACTATTGTTTGCAGTGCCACCGTGTGGATAGTTAGTGTTACCGCTCTAAAATATCCATTGAAGTAAAGATGCTCAAAATACAGTACATAAATACTTAGAAGGGAAAGAGCGGAAAAAGGCTCAAAAGCCCATTGAGTCCACTTGCTGGATATTTTTCACATCCCACCTCCTAACCCATACTTTCTCCTCTTGGTTGGATGCCCAGCAGTTCATTTTGGAAGTAAATGAGAATCGATGAGCTGATCATATTATAAAGCTGCAGACAATTTATAGTTTATTTTGTCATGAACAGAGAGCGTGCAATATAAACAGTTCATAGAATCTTAACATACTTGGAAATAGTGAGACTCATTTTTTGTTTTGTTGTGAACATCATGGATTTCCCACACACAGTAGAGAATGCAACCATGCATCTGTATCAGAGGAATCAACATTGTGAGAGAGCTTTTACGCTGCTGACAATACAACTGTTGGTAATAAATTGGAGGGAAGAACACATAAACTTTTATTCAGCAGCAAAAATTAAAGATACTGTTTCCAGCACTGTAATGTCAGCACGTCATTACCAACAACAACAATTTATATTTACATAGCACCCTTCACATGGGGTAGCGTCTCGGAGCACTTGAAAGACAAGACAGACATCAGTCTTGTCAGTAAGACTATGCTGAAATGAATAGAAAGCATTTATATCATGATTCTGTATGTAGTGAACACTGCTTAGATTTAAGGAACTATGTAACTTTGTGGCTTAGATAAACTTAAAGTGCTTAAGATTTACATTGCAATATATTTGCAATCAGCCTAATAGAATGGCAGAACAGGCTTGAGGGCTGAATGGCCTATTCCTGTTCCTATGAGCCTCTTGGTTAGATTACTGCTTTGCAACTCCAGGGAGGAGGAAGAGAGGTGCACGTAGAAATACACCAGGTAAGAATTGGGTTTTTATTGATCCTGTTTTTCTTTCGTCATGTTAAGTAAGTATATGCAACGGAAAAAAAGGTTAAATGTGAATATTTGTTACAGTATTTATGCCCATAAAGTTGGCTGATCATTTTTTAATAATTCTTTTTCTTTTTTTCTTGGATCACATCAGTTTTAAATTTTTTTGTTGTAGCCACACAAATGCGTCGCATTCTCTCTGTACTATTATTCTTCCCAATAAGTCACAGAGAAGTGCAAAATATTACAGAGATTACACCATCACATGGCAAAAAGTCTCACTTTCCATTTGTGGTCTTTTCTTTACAAGTGTGAAACATTTTTTTTCCTTTCCTTCTCAAATATTGCCATTAGTTTTCATTATCTTATGATAAAAAATATATGGGGACACCGAATATGTTGGATTTTAACTGAAGAATGCATAGTGTTAAGATAATTGTATTCTGTTGTACAAATAAAGTACTAACTGTCTAATCCTAAATATACACTTCAATGTGCTTGTTTACAAGCCAAGCAATTTGCATGTTGTTCAACATGACCAAAGTCCATTATGAACTAGCACATTGGGAAGAGTCAAATCCAACATGTATTCTATCTCACTCATTATACACATAAGATGTTTTTTTTTACAATAAATATCCCATTCAGGTATATGGCAACTGTTCAGTAGTTCCAGAAAGAAAAAGAGGTGAGTTCTGTGGTGTGAATAAAAGGGAAGAATTTTTAAAAAAGGTATAGAAGTAGTTGTAACTCACAAGAAAATCTAAGGGATTCCAGAGATACCGTCTCAGTAGAAGGCCATTGAACTAAGTGAAAATGTGTAAAGAGTCTGAGCAGTTGCGAGGATTTTTGAGTAGAGCATTGTTGCAAGAAAATCTAGCCTGTAACCAAACAGATAGTTTAGAAAACGAGTGTGGAACCATTGAAAGTAAACTACAGTGCAATAGACCTATCGCTGGAGTGTCACAGGAACTTGTGTTTTGATTAAAGAGTATAACCATTAATGGACTATTAACTTGATTTATTATGACATTGTAAATGGATCACATAACTTGTAAAGAGGTGTAAGTATGTTGAATATTGCTCCAGTCACACTGAATTCTTGTGTGTTGCAGCATAATCACTGTCTAAAGCCTACTTTAAAAGTTAAATACTGGAAATATAGACTAGCAATGAGCAGCGGTTGCCGTGAGTGCATTCAGCAAACATGGAGTCTGGTAGCATAGTGCTTAGAGCATTCGCCTTGCAAGCGAGCGGACCCGGGTTTGATTCCCAGGCAGGGCAAAACCTTGGGCAAGTTTCCTTACTCTACACGCTTCTATTCACTTAGCAATAAGTAGGAACCCGGTTGTTGGTTGATTGGTGGATTACTTTCTGGGAGTAATATTCCTTTTTGAAAAAAATGTGGTCACTCAATCCATGACTGTTTGTAGGACGCTGCTGTCCATAATTGACTGCCGAGTTTTTCCCACAAAATATCCAGTCAATTCACTTTCCAGTATATTCTGTGAAGTGCTTTGAAATGTCTCAATGACATGATAAGGCGCTATAACAAAATGCAGGAATAGTTATATAGATTCTGTGATTTGATTAAATGCTTTAGCATTTAATTGGCACATGAATTGTTTTGTTGATTTAAACGTTCCCAACAAATAGATGTTTCCATTTGAGTGGAGCCGTGAATAAGAAGGTTCCTGTGATGGGCAAGTGGTTAAGGCACCACCAGACATCACTTGGGCCGACAGACCAAAGGGTTTAAGTTTAAATCTCATTCTGTGCTGATTTAGCTAATCTGAGCAAGGGCAATTGTGGTTATTACAATTGGTTTAAGTGCCTCTGGGTTAGGGAGTGCAAAAGTACCCGATCATTTGCCGTTGGCCACATCCAATCAGTAAAATGTCTGTTTTCCTCTGCCTTCTTTCAGCTATCGCTCTACCTATACACGTAGTATTTATCCTATAGCCGAGCCATGCAGTCAAGACACATCCTGTTTTTATCTAATGTCTGCATATGTGTCCTTTCCAGCCAGAGTCACTGGATCATAATTGGGAACAAGCTGATTTTTTTTCCCCCCTTACCCCTATTTTGCCTGGGGATGTTCTAAGGTTAACAATGGTGCACTCTCTGCCTCTCGCTTAAGATCAGCAAACAATATAGACCAGGGATTGAATTTGCAGCCCTTCCTGGTTTCTATAGCTGGGCTCACACAAGGTATTGGCTGACCTGTCAGTTGAGCAATTGGGGAAATTTAAATGTAATACATGTGAAATGCCTGGACTCTGTGATGTCGAGAAATTAGTTGCGTGCATGTACAGGGTATGAAGGCCTGCAATTTTACAAGAGATGGGATTGTGAACTAGCAGTAAAGAGGTGGACAGATCCTCTCCATGTAATTGTAAGATCAGAGAGATACACACAGACATACAAGTTAAAGACAGAGAGAAAGAGCGAACAGACAATTGGAGACAAAGAGAGAGAGAAAGAAAAACAGACAGTTGGGGACACACATACACCCACGCACACGTGCACACAAATCCATTACCAGCACTGTTTTCGTTTCAGCAATAGGGCTGCTCGTAGTCAGTGTGGATATCAGACTCTTATCAGACCAATGCACCATTGATATTCACCTCCTGGGTTCCTCTTTGATGATGCCATTTTGAGATATTTGTCTTGCAGGTTGGGGGTGAGGGGTTCGGGGGGGGGTGGCGAATTCCCCCCGAATCAGGGATTCCCTGAGACGTTGGGAAAACTTTTGTCACAAACAGTTTTTCGCTGGAGTTTTATAAAACTGTTAAATCCAGATGAAAAGCTATCTATAGGGTTGCCCCCATCTTTGAAGCTTTAACCATATAGTGGCTTTCAGTATCCTGGTTGATATTTAATGTACAGATATTTAATGTTTGTACATTTTGGGCCTCCCCCATTTCCATGAGAATTTTAGTTTCTTCATCACAGATCAAATGTGTAGCCCTGTACCCCTTTGATTAATGCTGCCACGACCCACACGAGGGCAGTGTTCAGTTACTGTTGTACAGTGTAGTTGTAGGATTCAAACTGAAGCAACTTGGGAAGACCAAAGTCAGCAAGTTATCAGGGTGGTTGGATGGCTACTTAATGTAGAGATGAAATGAATGCAGCAGTGAGGCTAAGCTTTCCTGACCCTTCATCAGAGAATAAATGAAAAAAAGTAAGAATAAGCTATTGTGCCATGGGGAGATGATGAAATTCAAGATCCACACACATAATCTCTGGCTGAACCTCAGAAATGTTAATCCCTGGGTAGAATTATTTGAGCTGTAGATTGTATTTTATCTTAGCAATGGCAGTGTGTCCAACAATGCCTATTTGTGTATGATATTTCTTACTAAAGCTTAGGGTAGGAGAATAAAAATGCTTCAAGAAACATTTGATGATTATTTGAAAATACCTGGGAAGCTTTGCTTTGAAAAATGTC